AAAAATATTAGTTATAGTCTGAATTGGATAGGAGTTATTTCAATTTTTCTGCCTGAAAACCATGTTTTGAGAAAAACGCTGAAGAAGTTTTAACGGGTGGGACATATTGAATGGCCACGTGTTGCATTTCAATTTTCAATCACTTAACACGTTGCATTGAAAAAAAATATAGCGCAAGATGTAGCATGAAAAGCTCTACAATTTATGAAAAACAGCTTATTTATATAAGCACCTTTTGTTTTGAAAATGGACAAAATTCTATGCGACCAATTTTCGATGCTGCGAACATGATCATTTACTGATACACGACGAATTCTTTTTCTTATTCTTCTGGTTAATGAAGCATATCGAGAGCTATAATCAATGACCGAAATTAGATAACCGATAGGTGTTCCAGCCGTATTTCTCCACTCGTTCTGATATTACTTGTTAGAGGCACATACTAGCTACCTAGTAACAGTCACAATTGTATAAGTAATGTTAATAAAGAAAAAGAAATAAAACCCAAGAGTTTTCGAAAATTCGTTCCATTGAATTTTGACTATTTTGAAAACAAAAGTGCATATAAAAAATAAGCTGTGCTTTGTAAATTGTAGAGCTTTTCACGGTACATCTTGTGATATATTTTCTTTTTTTTTAATACAACATATTAAGCGATTTGAAAATTGAAATGCTAAACACGATCATTTAATCTGCCACACTTGTTAGAAATGGATTTTACATTCAAATCTACTAAACTTCTGCACAATATACGTGATTTATACATCCAGTGTTGAGAATAAAAAATAATTATGTGTTTCTTATCTCGAGGTTTAGTTGGCACCTGATGATTGATATGAAAATTTTTTCTTCAATGCTAATTAAAATAGCAAAGTAATGTCTTTCAAAAATTGAAAAACTACGGAAAATCTCGAAACTGCTTCGAAAAATATGGTAGTACAGCCCCAATCTCCTACGGTAAGTTTTTTAAAATTTGGTCTTTTTGGAAAAGAGGCATATATATTCTGAAAGAGACGACTTCGGCGCATCTTCCTATGATAAAAAATTTGACTTCGATTTTTTTTCGAAAAAATGAGTTTTCTAAGGGGAGGCCACCTTAATCAAATTTCGACTAAGTATATACAAAAAGAGTGTGACTACGAGAGGTGTAAAATTTACGCTCTCACGAAACTGTTTATGGTCTACTCGATAGGAAAAAGAACGTTAACATTTTTCGCTTCTCTTTTTTTCATTCCTACGTGACAACAGATTCGACACCTTATGAAATAACAACAACAAAGATGTCAGGTTCGATCAAAGGTATGACTGGATGTTACAATTCGAACTGTCGTCCACAAATGGCTGCTGTCAAACTCTCGGTATCGTTCATTCAACAAGCAATCGATGTTCTCGATCTTTCTTCATCATCTACTCTCATCATTGCCGGCTTTGGCTCATCTCACGGTTTCAACTCGTTATATGCCATGAAAACGATCATTGAATATCTACGACAATCAAAAAAGGAAGATCGACCACTTCTCATTGTTCATAACGCTTTGGAAACCAACGACTGGGCAAGACTTTTCGAGCTGCTTAACAATGATGGTAGTTATTATGGAATGGCTTGCGGGCAATCATTCTATGAACAATGTTTACCATCGAATTCGCTTGCTGTAGGCTACTTTTCTACATCAATCCATTGACTCTCAAGCTCATATTGATTATTCTCAGTTTTTGGAGCATCGTTCACGTGAACTTATTCCTGGCAGTGTGCTTGTTCTCACCATTTTCTGTGTTAACGATGAAGGATTATGTGGATCAGATGTCGCAAAGCAACTTTTATATAAGTGCGCTCAATCTCTTCCACTCACTCCCTAAGAATTACTCAATTATACTATTCTTGATATGGAACTAGTTTTAACAGAACATTCAAAGTAAATATGGTGACGCAAATTTGTTGACTGTATTATTTTAAAATCTAACACTGAGGTATGCGTCTTCTACTTTGATGTAAATCACTTTCGATAGATTAACTTTTGTTAAAGAGAAAAGAAGCCGAACTGTATGAGAAAAGTAGCGTTTACTTATTGCCATTTCTGTCAATGAGCTACCTTCGCTAATGCAAGATTGGAATAAAAAAAGAATAGGTTCTAAGTACAATTAAGATCTAAAAAATCCCATGAGTGGAGATTGATTTGTCTGTCCTCAGTTTTCTCATACATAGAGAAGATCTCGGTGATATCTATTGATCTCATCTGTATCGATTTCCATCGTCCGAAAAGTCTAAATAATTTCAATTAGTATAGTTATGAACGAAAACTCTGTTACTTAACAGAGTCCATAATAAAATAATGTACATTTCCCTCATGTTTCAGTCACTGAATCATGAGTTTTCTGAAATTTCTCTAAACAACAAGAAATACTAACGTAAAGAATATTGAGAATAAAAGTAGTTAAAAACAAGATGAATGAAATGGATATAATATCTTGATTAATTAGTATATCTGAGATAGCAAAATAAATCTAAAGGTTTCTATTAGAATATCATGATTAAAAATATCTATTTCAAAGTAAAACAATTAAGTATTGTGTTATACAATTCAGGATTAGTTTGACCGATTTACATGAAGCTTTTCGTAAAACTCCTCAGATGTCCGTATAAGAGCGTTCTCAAATTCTCAAAAACACAACTCTAAATGCGATCTAGTACCACTTCGACCTGGACGATATGAGACGGGCTTTGGACGCAAAACAGTAGATAAAACAGGCTGCATTGGGCATTAGGAAAAACAGTTTTCTTCTGAAGCGTTACTATCTATTATGAAGCAATACGATCCTCCATGTCAAATGTCAAAGAATACAAGTACAATTTGTTTCTATGATCTTCGTATCTATTTCTATTGTTGCAATGCAACAACACAACGATCAGCATGCTTCTTTTACGATTTTGAATATGATCGCCGTGGCAACTGTCGCAATGGTAGCACAATGTTACAGCGGTGGGCAGAAAGTCAGGAAAAAAGATTTCATTTGTTGCTTTGTACCATGTTTGTACAGTGCATTGTGCAAATTTCGCATGGATCGTTTGAGCTCCTTGTTCGAATCATTGTTGATGTTAGATTTGAATTCAAGAGAATCCGATAATGTGTCTGCAACATGCGCACACATACTGAGCACAATCTATGACTCCTATACACATAACGATCTACCCGTTTGCGCTCAAACAAAACAAATTTAAAAGATGTTCAAACAGTTTTCTTGTTTTTCTATATGAAAAAACTGTGCGCTTGAGTCGTTCCTTTTATTTGCTTAGTAAATTCTATAAGTAAATAGAAAAAGGTGTATTTCATTGAATGTGGGCTGTCGATTTTTTCGAATTTGAAAAAAAATGAGCAGTGAGTCAATAGTCACGTAAGGCGAAAGTCCATTAATGATCATTGATGACGCTGTTATGAAAGGAAGACTTTACAGATGTGACCGTGCTGAGTAATCGAAAACAAAACTAATTCGTTCTCTGAAACAGTACCCAAATGTTTGTGAGATTTCTTTTTCGTTCTGTTGAATTGTCGAAGAGTTACATAATCAGCATTCTTGGAGAAACATAAATGCCATACTTCTATCTTTTAAAAAAGTAATTCATGCTTTGAAAAATGATGAATAAAAAAACTTGTGTTATCTGTTGGTCAAAACGTGTCAGTGAAGAAAATTTTCATCATTACACAAAGAACAAAAAGTATAGAGTTCCTTAGAAAACTGTAGTGTTTTATCATAAATGTGGAATATTCAGAAGGAAGATGAATTATTCTGACGGACGCGTTATGCATTTTTAGAATAATATGATGAATCGTTATTTCATGCTGAACAGGCGGATATGTTCTTGACTCTTGTAGTCACACTTTATATTGATGTTTTACTGTCGAATGGTTGCATGCCGTGCTGGTTTTTTCTTTCATGTTACTATTTCAATTATTGTGTAACTGCACAGTGGTGGGTTTTTTCTGAGTACGTATAATCTGTATACCATGCGTCCAAGATACGAGATAGCTTCATTTTAATTATGTTGGCAAAATCTAGTTCCAACCGAGACTTCAATATAAAAAACTACACTTCTCAGAATAGACTACACAAAATTCGTTTAAGCCGTCATAAGATATGAAAATAAAAAGTGAATGTCAAGCAAGTTTTTTTTAATTATCTCGATGCTACTTTTCGAATACAAGAAAAAAAATACTATGACTAACAGAGGTGAAAAACTGAAGTTTCCAACTTGAAACACTATAAGAAAAAGAAGTCAGCAACGTTTTCACATCACGTATAGAGATGCATCAGTATTAGTATTGTACTGATCTACTGAGCTGTTACTAGTGACCAGCACTATCGCTTGATCAATATATTGATATTAGTATTACTGGGTACCCAAAAATAGTGGTACCTAGTGCACTAGTATTGAGTGAGTATGCATTCGCGTCATTATCATAGTTGTCTGCTCGAAGGTAAAGCACTATTTCAGCCTCGTTGAAATACCTTGAAACAGAGTTTGAACTAGGTATACATCAGTTTCATTTACCTGGGTTCCTCTCGCACTGGTATGCAATAGAGTCGGCCCCAATTCGGCTGGCACCTAGTCCAATTAGACATCTTCTCAACTGATCTATAAGTGATTGGCTTGATTTTTGTTGAATCAATCCGGTTTCGTAACTATCTATTTTTCGACTAACCACATTGTTTCGTCCTTCTGCGACGATAATGACAATTTCATGCTGATCAAAAGGATTTTGGACAAACAGAAGACATCCATGTATGACCTCAAATGGACTAGATGAATTAAAACTGAATTAAAAATGTGATTGAGGGCGAGAGTGGATGAGTGGATGAGAATGTATCATCTATCGACTCTTACATCCACCCACCCTCAAAATATTTATGCGAAGAAGTATCAAATAAAATAATGGAAAATTTTCATCGTTGAAATATGAAAGAAAAAGTAGTAGAATAGGAAGAAACAGTCACAATCATTTTGTTCATGATTCATCTGTTGTCCCGTCAGATTCTAAATCAGTTGGAGTAGGAGGTTCATTCATCTGACGATCTGTATCGATGCTTGAGCAATAAGTTATGGCATAATTCAACCGATCATACATGATATCAATTGATGAGTAAGTAGGTAAATCAAGACCAAAAGTACATGTATGAGATCCTATAATTGGAAAAAAAACACAAGATATACGATTATTCAATGTGCTAATAAGAATTCCATTTACTTGGAAGTGCTCCATCTACAGATCCATGAGATATATTATAGGGTTCAATCCTAAATTTTGATCCAAAGTCATCATCACAACTTGGTAATGTACATCGACCCCAGACAAATTTTAAAAATAATTTCTTCTGTTCTTCGTTGAACATTTCCTTGAGAATTTTCCAAAATTGTTGAATAGATGGTGAATTTTGATTATAACGACCACCATATTCTGTATTTCTTTTTAATAATTCGATATCGATTTCTCCTTTGCCACAAACAGCTTCTTCAAGTTCATTAGCTGTAAATAAACCTAAGAAATATCCAGGAACAACACTATACAATCCTTGACGAATACATTCAATTTGTCGATAAAATTCATTTAAACGATATTGACGATAACTTGAACAATAATCTTGAAAATTCGAAGTTGTTATTGGAATATTCCTTCCATTTGGAACAAGTTCATATGTTTTTCCATTTGAACTAATAACTTCAAATCGAAGTTCATCGAACGTAGTTCTCAACACTTTGTCAATATCGATTAATTGATTATTTTGTTTAATCATTTTTTCTATTTCATTAATCATGGTAAAACTTTGAATATCAATATCTTCAATATCTTCAATAGTTATTCGTTCTCGAACTAATTGTTTCCATAATAAATTAGGGAATTTTAAAGACAAATAATGTTTTTTTCGTATTGCCATACCCATTAATTGTCCAATAAATTGATATTGTTGTTTTATTCGATTTGGAATTGATTTATTTGATGGGAAAACATTGGGAATCCAACGATCATTATTTAAACCACTATTTGTTCGTCCATTTGGACATAAAATAAATAAGGATAATCGTGTACTACATATATCAGAACAAATACGTGTCACAGAATCACGAAATGGACCACCTTGATCTGTACTATGCATACCAAGATATTGTGCATGCCATAGTTGATTATATTCTTTTCTAAATGTTATATGAGCATTATTATATAATTGATCATAAGCTTGATTAAACATCGTATCTATACCAGAACTGGCTTTAACTGTATTGAAATTAACAGTAGGCATATCATGATGTGTCTCCAATTCAGTAAGAGTTAGAGTTGTATAAAATAGTTTTGATTTTATTTCGTATAATATGTATGATTTGATTTTTTGAATTTGATCTGTGACAATACTTTGTCCCGGAAGTAGACTAAGATCAATAACTGATACTAATTTTTCTATAAATATATTAAATTGATAGAAAAGTTTAGCACGAATTTGTATATAAATAGCTGGAATATGGCATAAAGATGGATAAGTTTTGTAATATGTTGGATTAGGTATGGATCCGATGGGTAGATCATTGATAAACTGAATAAAAGAAATTTTTAAGAGAAGATGATTGTTCATAAAATTAATTAATTGTAAATCAGCAATTGTATCAAAATAATTATTTGATTTTTCGATATCATCTCTAGTGAATTGAAGATTCTTACCGAGTAAAATAATTGATTGTCTTATGAACATTTCTGGAAATGATCTATGCTTTGTTTTATCGATTAAAGCATCAATAACATCAATTGATATTAATAGATCATGAAAACTTTGAGGAAAATTAAATTGATCGTTTGTTATATTCATTGTAATTGATTGAGATTTTTGTCTTTTAGTTAATAGAAAAATTAAATTCATGAGAGAGATTTGAAATGTTCTCATTGTTTGAGTATATACTGATGTAGAATTTGGTGGTAATTCAATGAATAAATGGAATAGAAAATGTTGAATATTTTGATTTAAATGGGAATTGTCACTTGTTTGTATTAAACTAAAAAGAAAGAATTTAGAACAATTGACTAATACATAGATTTCGAAGTGAATATTTGAATGTTGTTCAAAAGAATTATATTGGAAGCGAAAAATATTGGATATATAAGCGTTTTATAGAAGATTCTGTTCAACTTTGGAAACAGGCAAACGGATGCTACGACTAAAAAATTTTATGATCACAATCAAAACTTAAAACAACTGACCAAGATCATGTCTGATGGACAACTTTAATTCCTGGTTGGAATCGAACCGGGATGGCAAAAATAAACGAGAAATTAGACTTAGAAAATATCCAAGTCAATGAGTCCGGTGTCCGATTCCAGTGAGCTTTCAACAGCCAAGTCACAGATTCCAACCGAAAAACTCTAGAAAGTACCGATAGTGGAAATAACACATAGCTAGAGTTGTCCATCTCTGATTTAACTCCATTACCAGACTTGCATTCTTTTTTTGACGGAGATCTTCTCATGTTTGACAGTGTAGGAGTATGTTCGATAAATTCGCTCAAACATAAAAAGTGTTTATTTCTTAGTGAAATTTACGTCTTATTTTCAATCAGTTTTCAACATGCTTTATGTGAGAAAATACTTGTATTTTGTTTTAGCTCGTCCATTAAAATTCGAAATCTTACATTGAATGCTAACATAAATAAGGAAATAGTACATCTTTCACACCATGATATGTAGGAGTAGGACAAGTTTCAGATATAAAACATTTAATTAACATTAGTTCCTTTATGAGATATCATCATTTGGACATCCATAGATAAATGAATTATTTCTTTTAACCCTTTGGCGACGTGAAACGTATAGATACGTTTTGAACTTTAATCAGGTGGTTACACTAATAAATTTATTGTTTTTTGATTAGATTCGCGCTTTCTCTTGTGTTTCTGCTATTACAGAGACATCATACAGCGTCACTGTACAAGTAAACTGGTATTCATTCTCTAGCTTTCTATTGAAGCACATCGTTTATCATGTTCTACATATGTAAATTTTCAGATATTTCCCTACTAACATATTATTGAAACTGAAATGTAATAAGAATATTCATATTGACGAGTGTCGGAACCAGTTAATTTGGGAATTAATTGAAAGTCATTCACAATCAAACACATAGAGGTCGTTCGATCAATAGAGAATTCTATACGTTTCACTAACGTGGCATTTTCCAGCTCCCGTTTCGACAACATCATGAATGGAAGCTGTACAGAGATTGTGTGCGGTTTGTATTCGTGTGAAAAAAAAAGCGTCGGATACATTTCTGAATGTTTGTGTATGACAATAAAATTTATTTCAGGAAGTTTTCGAAAAAATCCCGCCGACAAAGGTTTAGTGGTACTTTACTATGAGAAAGATAAAGATTTCACTTACCTAGACAATAATTGAAGGATAGTACTTTTTATTTGATGCATTGGATTTATAAGAAATAAATTGAATAATATATTGACTAAAGATTCGGGAAATAATAATGAAATTAATAAATCAATGTCTTCTTGTTTTGTCGTCAATTTTTCAGATATAAATTTGACAAATAGATGAAGTAATTTAAGAATAAAATTTATATTTGGTTTTTTTATATCAAACTCTTCACTATATTCTGAAGATAATAATGATGGATCAAATAAAATTTTAATCGATTGAATCATAATATCTTTTTGTAAATAATAAAGTAAAAAACCTTTATATTGTAATATATCATTAGTAATCTTATTATTTCTTATTCGATGATATTTAAGTAATTCATTTAATTCAACTTTAAGAATTGAATTTATTAACAAACTCATTCTATCAATAGTTTCATCAATATGTAAACATGTGTGATAGTCTAATAATCGAAATAATGTTACAATAAATGTTGCATCACCAAATTCTTCTAATGGAAATAAACTTGATCCATCATTAAACCAAATTGTTAATATATTTATAATTGTATAATGTGCATAGATTGAAATCAAATCATATTCACAAGCAAGACGAGATTGATGATATTTATTGCGAGTCATATGTTGATAAGTATATTTAATGTTTTTCCATTGATCATCAATGATATTAGTTGTGATTTTTGTTTGTTCATCTATAGATTGATTTAAATCAAATAGTTGATAAGTAAGATCAGTTGGTTCGATTATGTTTGATTTATCTTGAATCCATTCCGAAAGATTTTCATTAAGAGTTAAATGATGAATAGTTTCATAGAACCAGTCTTTACCAATCGATGGTGTTGATAATGTTTGAATATCATTCCAATGAATGAGTAAAATTTCTGCAAGAGCTGCTATTTTCTCTTCAGTATCAAATTGAGAAAATTGAAGTAAATCTTTCAATTTTTCTTTATTAATTGATGATCCAAGTTTTGATAAAATATTTGTATCATGTTTATAATATTTTTCACGTAGAATTGTATCAATCAATTGAATATTTGTGGTCATAGTGTATTTCATAGCAGATCTTATTGATAATTCATCATATCCAATTCGAATTAAACTTGGTGATATAATTGAATATGGAGGTGCAACTAAACTTTCTAATGAATTATTTGGAGATTTTATTTGTTCATCACTGTCAAGAATTGCTTTATTTAAATAAGTGATTGATTTACATTCAATTCGAAGTGTATCTTCATTAATTGTGCTGTTAGTTGAATCTAATTCTTTGAAGAGATTAATTTGTTTGTCTTTTATTGTTAATTGATCATTATCTACATTTCCATGAAGTTCTAATAATCCATTGACATAGATTTTTATAGAATTTTTTTCAACAGCAATTAGCAAACGTATATATTCATTTAACTTCAATTTTGATTCACTTTGAATATATTTTTCATTATTGATAGATAGATAAAGTTGACCATCATGTGCTATACATATCTGTGATTGTTCATTTAATTCTACTAATATGATTGGTAAATGATAGATAGAAATATCAAAAACAAGTGTATATGCCGACCATGAATCTAGAGATTTATCTAAAACAAAATAAGTTTTATTACCGAATACTTGTAAGGTTCCATTATTTGTTCTAAAATGTTTCAATTCATTTTCAAAGTATTTATCTTCAGTATTAAATGTCAATATATTTGCTTGTTTTCGATATTCATTTAATCGATAATAATCAAATGCAATATAGGATAAACCAGAAGTAAATAAACGTCGAATATGTTCTTCCGATAAAGCATATTTCCAAATAGCAAGATTTTCAATTCCAACAGCTATTCTTGGTAAAATATGAATATGAAATTTTGTTATGATTGGACTTTCCAATATTCGACATTCATTATTAATGTAAATTTTTATTTTTCGTTCATTTAACTGAAATATTATAGCTATTTGTGTTTTATTTGTAATTTTATTTATTGGTATTTGTATTGAAAATACATCCGGTGGATCAAATGTTAATAATGGAATATCAAGATAATCATGAGACATCTTTAAAACTGAAAAATCAAAACTAATTGTCAATGATTGTTGATCATCGATAGTTAATGGAAAGCCTTCATTATGTTCCGGCAATATCAATTGATAATTTTCCACTATAAATACACTTTCAAGGTGATAATTATTGATAAAATCACGTAAAAATCGAATTGATTTATTATTTCGTGTAGGAATAAAATAATCTTGTACATTCTCACCAACCAAATAAGCACTAAATGGATAAGCAACAAGTGAATCATCAATATCGATCATAGTCGGAAGTAATAATGGTTTATAGTTGTTCGGCAATGGACATTCAAACATATCCATTGGATGAAATATAAATTCACAAGCACTTAACGTTGTTATATTATTTACTTTTAAAGTCACACCAGGAAAATAACTTGTTCGATATCCATTTGGTAACATATTACATATTTTTGTTGTTGAATTTATAGGAAATTGATGAGAAAAAGGTGTACCTAAGAAATATCCATTTAACCAATAATTAATTTGTATATGATCATTATTTATTTCAATTCCACAACCACAAACATCATTCGTACTCCAAAGAATATTTTCGAATGGAAATGAATATTGTTTATTATTATAAATGATTCCTGTAGATCCATCATATGACCATGAATATTTATCATTACCTATTCCAATAGAATGATTAGGTTTAAATCCATTTGTTGCCCATCCAATTTGAGCTGAAGTTGATTCTAATAATCGAATACAAAAGTACCAATTACCTTCAGTTAATCGTAAATTATCAATAATAAATGTGACAAATAGTGTATTAAAATTTTCAGAAATTAAAGTAACTCGCCCTGGAAATCGATGTGTTATTCCACATTCTTCTATGAACCATTTTCCAGAATTTCCAAATGACATTGGAATAATTTTTATTTCATCATTTCCAAATCGACCTTTTTTAAATAGTTTAAGTTCTCTTTTTGACATTTTTGATTTCCATTCATTTGTTGTTAATGAAAAATCAAGTGTTAATTGATCTTTTTTAAATGAAACATCTGTCCAAATACGAAATTCATCTTGAATAGTTTCATTTGTATCATCAAGAATTTGTTTAAAATATTCACAACGATCTAAATTTAAACAGTATTGTTCTAAATGATATTTATTTAATAAATGTAAATCTATTGATGATTGAGCAGTTTTTGATAGCAAAGCTGATGTTGATAATTTAGCGATGATTGATACATATGATTTTTCCATGAATATATTCACGAGTTTTTTATGATTTAATATTCGATATAAAACGGCTATAGATCGACGTTTTAATTGTAAGAAAAGTAAAGATTCTGTTGTTGATGTATCGATTTGTATGAAATAGGCTAATGCATCAAATAAGAAATCTATAAATTTATTTGCATTGGGTAAATCCAAAAGATTCGGTGGGAGAACATCAATTTTTATTTTTAATTTATCTCCTGTTATCCATTCAGTTTTGTTTGTTTCGATATATTGAACAAGATAAATTAGTGTATCAGATGTATCGAGATCATGAGAGTTGATATTAAGATCGATAATTACTCCTAATTGAGTTTCATCAGTTGTATGAATTTCTATAACTGAACCTAAGCAAAAAGGTTGAATATATCCTCCTAAGATACATAACGATGCTAGAAGATTATCAATCGAATCAAATGATTTCAAATTGGATGTAATGGTATCCGAGATTATTTGAATGGCCATTGTTTGCCATGGTGATTTACATGACATAATTATTCGATATATGTAGATTAATTCAGTGGTTATGTCTGTTGTCGTCTTACCGATAGAAGATAAAATATTGGTTAAAAACTCATTCATCATTAATTGTGTTTTTCCATTCATATCTTCCGGTAAATATCTCACTAATTTCTGTAGAATTTTTAAAGAAATTAAAATAGTTATTTGATTTCCACTATTTCGATAAATATAAATTAGTTCTTCAATATATTGATCATTCGCACAATATGATCGTACATGTTCATACAAATGAACACATCGTAATAGAAGTATTAAATATTGATTGATATACAGATCAACGTCGAATTTTGATGATATATTATTTGTGTCTTTTGCTTTGATGAACCATTCAATAGCAACATTATTGAATGAATTATTTTTATTCATAAGTATTGTTTTCTCTTCTGATTGTTTTAATAATTTCAATTCAGTTAGAATTATTTTCTCAAAGATCAATTCTTGTATTTCATTCAAAATTGAATTTGTTTCAATTTGAAAATTTTCGCAAAATTTAAATACATACAACCGAAACCAATTGTATCGAACAAATTTTACATCAAGATCTGTGCTACTGAATTTGTTAAATAATATTTGAAGAACTTCATTATTATGTATACAATAAATATCTATTAAATTATAAGATAAATTAAGTAAATAGAATATATTTTGTATTAATATCATTTGATCAATATTTGTTGATTGTAATAAATAAGAAAGAATAATTTTAATAATTAAATAATAATTCTTTCCAATATCTTCTTTTAATTGAATATTTGTGGTTGAAATATTTTCTAAATATGACCATTCAATATTTGCTTTTCTTAAATATGGTAAATAAATTCTTAAAAGTATGAGAATTTGATTTTGATTGTTCATATCAAATAGTTTTTCTATGAATTTATGAATAAATCGATATGTAATTAATCTTAATATTGCTCGTTCATATTGTCGAAACATACATTGTATTAATTCATCCGATTCTGATTTCTTTTCATTAAATATATAATAATCAATAGCTCGTCTTAGAATATTTTCATTATCTTGTTTGTCTTCGATTCCCTTCTTGTTAATTAATATTAATTTTTTAAATCGTATACAAGCTTGAAACATATTTCGAAGTAGTCGAATATTATGCTTTTCAATATTTTTTTGTGAATAATAACGTTTGAACTTTGGTTTATTTACTTGTTCATTAGTTTCATATTCGATTATCGGAATCAAATTACTTTCTTTGATGGATGTTAAAAGGAATAATGTGTTCATTTTAATTTGCTCATAAAGTTCGTCACAATTACCACCTTGTCCTTTTGTTTTTGCAAACAATATCTGAACAAGATTTGCATATTCGAAAATAGATAAAAGTTTTTTATGTGGTTTATTATCATCTGTTCGAGAGAGTTCCGATTTGGCTAAATTGATTCGACGATAATATTTTATATAAACAGCAAACAAAGCAGCACATGCATTATTTGCTTGTTGTTCAATTGATTTTTGTACTAAATTTTGTTTATCTTTCATATAGATTTTCATTTTCGATATTAATTTTGCACCTTGATCAATATTATTATAAATTGACATTAAAAATTCATGATCGGATAATGATTGTTGAAGATTGTAATCAGTTATTTTAAATCCACTGAAATTGGCGATATTCGATTTCAATAAATTCAATAGATACTGATTGTTTTCAATAGGTAATCTCTCACATCCACCAGCAAATAGAGGTGATTGTAATTTCTCAACATATTTCATTTCTAATGCATCTGGTTGAGGACCGACTATCAAAGTAGCACTCATTTTACCTAATACCCAATACATGTAAGATAGATTATTTACTATTATACCTTCATTCATTGTACTCTTCAATATTAGATCTGCTAGTAACGGTAAAACACTTGTGATAAGTGGTTGAATTGTTACAAAATTAAAATGTGTTTCTGTCAATAAACCCAAACTGATGAGAATTGAATTTAATAATTCATTTTCGATAACTAATTTATCATTAAAATTACTTAATATATAAGTAATATATTTATTCGCTAGAGACGATGTTGATGATAATCGAATGAAGAGAAATTGCTGAAATCGTTGTAATATTTGTTGAATTTGTTGTTTCATTTTTGATTCCATTTCATTCGAAGAATTGAAGGAAATATCAATAAATGAGTATAGTATATTCAATGCTGTTATATTCTCTGATTTATTATTACATAAGAGTTCAATCCAACAGAGTAATGTTGTATTTTTATTCAATTCTACTACTAATTCGTTAATTAAGATCAAATGTTTATTTTCGATAATGTATTTATGAATAAATGATAACTTTTCGGTAAAGGTAGACATTTTTTTATTAAGAATTTGCATAAGAGCTTTTGATGCTTGTCTACAGATTGTTATCTGTTCTAGTTTTTCATCATCACGACAAGCTAGGATTAATAAAGTATCAAACCATGTTTGTAAATCATTGTCATGAATAAATTCATTTAAATCGATGTCTTGATTAATACTAACAGGTTTGATTATATCATCGTTTGTGAATAATAAATTTCGAAATGGATTTGTTATTAGAACAAATAGAAATTTTAAATGTTTTGTAAATAATCTCAAACAAATAATTAAAATATAAGTCAGATTCATATTCAAATCTTCAAGTGGTATAACTGTTAATTGTTGGATAATGTCAAATAATTGTTTAAATGTATTCGGATGAAAGTCAAATGACATTGAACTAGAATTGTATTGTTTATTTGCATTGATTGCATTGTGAAAATTAATATGTATAAATATAAAGACTGAAATAAATTGTCCAAGAAGTTGTTTCCTATGCAAATTTCTTAGTCGAGTGTTAGGAAATCCTCCGATTGAAGTTAAGTAAGTCAAGAACTTTTGATCTAAAAATTTTAAAAAAAGATTTTCATCAACGAAGAATGTAAAATCTAACCTGTTGTTTGGTTTAATCCGTTGTCATTATTTGTGATTTGTTCTTTTTCCCATTCACTGCGAATTGCTGTAAAACGATCATTTAATTGTGCAAGAATATTTCGTATAGCATAAACATTAGTTGTATCGAATAGCAGTTGTTTTAAAACATATAGAACGTCTTTCAGTGAAGTAGTGGAAGTTAAAAAGTTGTGTAAAACTCTTTCTAATTGTCTTTCTGTAATTCGATCATGTGATGATGATGATGATGATGATGATGATGAATCTTTTTTTGATTCATATATGTGAGAAGTTCTTGGTGATATATGTCTTTCAGTTGATTTGAATAGACTAGAAAGTTTTGATGTAATCGAAGATTGTTGTCTATTATTGTTGTGATCTTTCAGTTTATTTGTAAAATATGTTTTTACTTGTTCTTGTTTTTGAAGATTATTATTTATTTCTTGTATTATTTGTCTATAGTCAGTAATAATTGATATGAATATATTATCGAACGCAGTATTGATTATTCCAAAATCAGGTATATGTGTTAAAAGGTATAAATAATTTTGAATTTGTTTTATCCATGATCTTGCCATTCGACGTTCATCATTGGTTGTATTAGAAGGAATTTCCGAGGATAAAAATAAACTGACATCTTCCGGGCCAATATTTGAAAGAATTGTAGCAGGACTGGGAATAGAGCGATCTGATTCGGTCACGTGAAGAAGTTGGCAATTAATGCTGGACAAATGTTGGCCCATCTAAAACTTATAAAACTAAAACTGATTGTGCACAAATTATTACCGTGTGGTTGAAAGAAATTCTGAAATGTATCTCAAATGTGTTAAATGAATGGACGCTAAAGAAGAATTGTGATGGATTGATTCATTAAAATATTTATATAAAGTGAAAACATAATATGCCTGACCTGATTTCCTTATCTGTGCGTTTGAAACTAGAAGAAAAAATAATCTACAATGACCTCGTCAATGCAAATAAGAAAAAAGGTGTATGAGTGTGCATGCATGCTGGTCTTTTTTTTCTTTCTTTCTCTTATTTTGTTTTTATATTGTGCAAGGTTAGATCAATATTTATTGAAGTTTTGAAGTACTTATTCGTTCAGATAATTGTTTAATGAATTGATTTATAGATCAAAATATGATTCATATTTTTAACAGTATAACAATTTGACTCAAGGTTTGTCATTTATAGTATAACACCAACGACTCATAATACAATATGTATGTTGATTTTCATACATAATAATGAAGTCTTTCAAGATTACAAGTTTTTGGTAGACATACTCAAGCAGTCAGAAATGAGAAATTAACACGTTATAAGAAACACTTTCCGTTTGTCTTTCAATGCCTTCTACACATTGACAAATGTCCAAGTTTTCGAATTTTAACAGTTGATATAATTTCGACTTTTAACATCGTTAAAATGAGTGAAAAGACAAAAGTTTAAACACGTTACTACAATAACTGTATTAAAACGCAAAAAATTCGAACATTTTTAATAATGTTTAACGTATTCTATGGAAACATTTTAACGTTAGTGAAATGCAATCATTGTGTCAAATTCTTGCATCAAACGCATCGAAAATCGTAATTTCGGACACTTGAAATGGTTGAAAAATCAGATTTTAACGCATTTTATAGGCCACCAATCTGTTACTCTGTAAAACAAAACGCTGCTCGACTGAACTTTTAAGAGTTTTAGCCAAGATCCAGAGCTTTTAAAGGTTTTATCCATTTATTAATAAACCATCAAATGGTTCTAGATAATTTAAAGAACCATGCAAAATAAAAATTAGTTTCAGAGATTTAAAAGAGTTCTATCTCGCGGCATTTTTGTGTATGCTGAACTTCTTTTACAAAGATGGTTTTAGTCCAAGTTGCTTGAACTGAGGTTGATCACTTTTTAAATGCCGCTTAATTAACCAAAAGCTGGAACAGTTTCACTTATCTAATACGAATAAGAAGCAGATGGCAGCCGCCATCAAGACTACACTTTAACATGAAGAAAATGAAAGTTAAAGTAGTTACGTCATTAAAGAATGACAAATTTCTAGACTTTATTTCGTTAAAGGAAGACTATTTTTCAAAAATGACGATACTGTATAACATTTGATCGACGGTTTTCGAGGGTATTGGTGTGTGGGTGTGGGTGTAGGTTTGAGTGTTGGAGTAACTAATGTATTCGTCCATACCCACGCCCTTCAGTCATTTCCTTTTCTGTCGTACATACTTGTCTCTCTATATATATCTTACTGTAGTAAATATGTGAAATGAATTTCAAGAAAATTACAATGACTGTGTTTGATACAAACAACTTTCTTTTTTTTTTTATGAAATATGATAAATGTTTTGTTATGAAATATCTTTTTATAAACTTTTCTTTTATTGTGTATTTTCTAATAGTGTTTCTTGTGTTTTTTCGTTGTGCTCATATTTTTTTGGAAAAATGAATAATCTTTTCTTTTTGTTTACTCCATGTGCCCCACTCATGGGGCAACAAAAACTATGACATGAACGTCTCTGTTCTCAGAATGATAGTCCAAACATGACGAACAAGTACTCTTAAAAGACACAATATGATGATTATCAAAAAATAGTTAAGATATTCAATCAAACAATAAGAATTCATCTTATGATGCTATTCTGCATTTTGCTACTCTAGGGTCAAGTGAATCGGCACCTGACGAATCTTACTTATTCTTTATTACTACAATTGAAAAAAAAATCATATAGAATTGTAAAAAATAAGTTAATTTCGATTTATCACTGTTATTAGAGAGTTCATTGTAGTTCATTGATTGATTGCCATATTTTTGTAACCATTTAAGTTCTTCTCGAGCTTTTATTTTTCTATACCAAGGGTTATTACTCAATGTGTGTCCTTCCTTTGGAAAAGTAAGTAATTTGACTGGTATACCAAGATAATGAAGTCCTCGTTCTAATATATAGCTTTGACTTGCTGGAACTCGAATATCATCTTCACCTGTAATGATGTGTGTGGGCGTACGTATTTTATTTAATTGATAAATAGGTGCTTCATTTTGGTAAACATGTGGTACTTCCCATGGATATCCTCCAAACAAGTAACGGATCAGTACAGGTAGATCCATTGTACCCCACATTGAAGTATGATCAGCAACGCCAGCACCAGAGAGAGCAGCATTAAAACGTTTGCTCTGTGTAATCAACCAATTTGTTAAAAAGCCACCGTAACTATAACCACCAACCGCAAGTCTTTGTGGATCAACAATTCCATCTTTAATTAATTGATCAATTCCAAAAAGAATATCTTTTCCTGGTCGAGATAAAGGTCTATAACGAATCTCATCGAGAAATTCATCACCATAACCTGTCGAACCTCTATAATTAGGTTCTAACACTAACCAACCTTCTGAAGCTGCCAAAGTAGCCCAATGATACCAAACTGGATCAAGTACATTGAGACTAGCCCAAAATGGACCACCATGAATAAGAACTAAAAGAGGTAGATTTTTAAATTCAAACTTGTCAGGTGGATAATGAAGTATGCCTTCAATCACTCGATGATCATCTTCATTTATCCACTTGTACACTTTTGTTTGAGGTAAATTTCTTCGAGTAAATAATTCATTTTCATTGGTAATTGCTTGTGCTGATTTCAATTGATCAATACTATTAATCAAATAAACTTCCATTGGTTTTTCTAATGATGAATAAACAAATGCAATTGTTCCATTATAATGGGATGATATAATCGATTCGTATGTTCCATTCCATCCATTGTGATGAATTAAATCTTCCATTGGTGATTGTTGTGTATAAATTTGTACTTCTGTTCCTAATTGTCCAAGTATATAAACACCAGAATTAGGCTTTGCTGTGTAGTCCATGATACTACCACGAAATTTTTCACCTAAACGTGTTATTTGTCCATTCATTAAGTTTAAAGAATAAAGACGATATTGTGACGCATGATTTTTTCCTATATTCGAAGTACGATTGAGTGTTCGGAATAATATATGCCGACCGTCGATCGACAACTGTAGTCCCATTTCGAGTGCTTCGTTATGTGTCAATTTTGATAATGTCGATGTATTTTGAAGATCAATCGAATATAGTTCAAAATCAGCTAAATTTTCATTAATTGTAGACATGGATGAGAAGACGAGTTTTTCTTCAAATGAAACATATAGGAGTTCGTTGATTAAAGAAGATACATTTCGAATGATATTTCTCTTCACAGATAACGGACGGTTGTGTGAATTGAGATTAAGACGATAGATTGTACTACTTCTATGCATTAAATTTTGTCGATATTGAACAACATCTTTCCATTCATCTTTGTATAACTCACTCTCGTCAGCTTTTGACCCTGAATTAGTGACAGCTAAATAAAGAGCTGAATCATTGTTAGACCATGTAAAAGCTAAAAGCATATCTTTTCCAATTTCAATAGGCAATAGTTCATCTGATATGAGAGAATATAAATAAATATATTGTTCTGATTGCTGCTTAGTTTGGGAATCATTGGTTCTATTAATTGATAAATGGACTTTAGGTAATAATGCAATGCAGTTACCACTTGGTGACCATTGTGGTTTGATTGTTTTATGAAGATTTGTTGTAATTAATTTTTTTGTTTGATTTTTTATATCATAGAGCCATAAAGTATGCTCATAAGAACTAGTATTCCATGATGGACGTTTTGTTTGAATAAGCAAATGTCGACCAGTTGGAGAGAATTTCAATAACGGAAACGTAGTATAATCAAAAAATTCATCGAAACTTAATTTCGGTTTAGTT